CAGATTATAAAAAATAAAAATAAGGTGGATGTTGAAGCCAATTACATTTATTTGACTTTGATTTCATCTACCCTTCTACCGAAATTCTACCGAAATTTTAACTTCCAACTTCTCCTATTTCTGGAGATTGAGATGAGACTGGGTATCCAAGTCACTGAAACAAGAAATTCAAATGAAATGAAGGATCAAATCAAAATATATATAGATCTTCAATTATTCCTGTAAATGTTTTATAATTAAATCAGCTTTTTAATCCAACTGAATTGGATTAAACAATGAAAACTATATAACATTCTTCAATTCTCTTGTATACCACCCTATTTCACAGCCTATATTTCATCTAAGGTCGACAATGAGTTTACAGATCTACATCTCACGCCACACAATCTAATGAAACTAACGCACATATAATTTATCACACAACAACTCTAGCTAACTGGAACAACCATCTCTGTGCCATCAGTGGTGGGGCTACTAGCGGTGGAGTCACGATTCTCCTCCGTCAACGCCTTCTTCTTGATGAACTCGATGCAGTCTGCTACAGCCTCGCTCTGGTGAGCATCAGCAAGGCAGTACTTTCGTGGTTGGACGACAGGTGATGATCCGGGGGTGTGCGAGGACTTGGAGAGAGCTGACAACATGATGAGGCGGAGAACGGTTTCCCTGAAACGTTCCAGGAGAGTCATTGGCGAGGGATGTGTTTTCTTGTTGCTTCTGAACCTGGGGATGCAAAGAGGAGTAGTACTACTGCTCTTCATTTTCTTGGAGCCATGTTTCTCCATCATGTTGTCCTAGTTGTTATCCTTGGACTTTTGATATAGCCAAATGAGGGCATCTATATACATGAGAATCTAAATGAACTGGAAATTTAATATATACCTGCATTTTTGGCTTTAAATTAGTTCCAGCCGAAGGTATATAGCTTGGCCTAATTCAATCTAACAACAATTTATGATTAATTAATCCGCAATGATGATTAAATGAATGACGAATTAAGCGTGGGACATAGAACCTTCGTAGTTAATTAATCATGGGGTGTTACCAGAAATTATGCTGGCAATGCTGGAGAATCATGGTTCAAGTCAGTAAGTATTCTGAATTAGGCCGCAAAGCAAGGTTGTTTTGTCTTGTAATGTCTAATGACAACTCAGCCAAGTTTGCTTCATTGACTTGTTTAAAGGGTGTTTGGAATTACTGTGATTATATTTGTGGTTATAATTGTATTGATCTGTTTATGTTATAATTGTAATTAAAAATTATTTTAGTATTTAGTTATTTATTTATTAAAAATATTAT